CGACCGTGATTAGTCATTTTCTTACTCTTGCTTCTTATAGCCATATCTTACTCCCTTTATAGACGGTCCTTTACTAAAAAGTTAGAACAATCGGCTCTAGAAGTGTTAAATACTGTGGGAACGCGAATACGACGAGAGTCGTTAGAATTCGGAGAACGAATTCTCTACCGTTTCTTTTCACTTTATTTTTTTATATTTATGGAATATACATTCTTACAAATGAACAAATGTTCATTTATAATTGATGGCGTAATAATGAAACAGTCGATGGAATGACTATAAATTTAATATTAGAATATATATATTCTACAAATATAAATAAAATAAAAGAAACAATAGAGATTGCTGACTCGATAATGCAGACATTTTTGGAGTTTGTCATCCACTTTGGCATTGCCTTAATTCAACCAATCTTCTTTCTCTGCGAAGAGTATTCGAGTTAAATGGTCGGGGAAATGAGACAAGCGTTAAGGATTCATATGCGGCTGAAAATTAAGAGACCTCCTTCGCCCGACGAAGAATACGATCCGATCGAATTCCTGTCGCGAATTTATCGCAGGATATTCTCTTTCGCGTCGCTGGTTCTCGCATCTCAGAGCTGTACATCAGTTCGCGTTTACGCTCCATCTGAAAGTCCCTCTCTTTCTTTCTTTCTTTCCCTCTGTACTCACAATCAGTAAAGCGTCTCCATGAACCGATCGATCCGTCCTTTTGTTGCGAACATCCGCTCGCTATCCCCGCGCTAAGAGTCGGGAGAAAAGATGACGAGGGGCAGGAGGGTAAGGGAGGCCAGGGTGAAAAAGTGGAAGCGCGGAGTAGTTTTCTTGTGGAGGAAGCTCTGGCATCGCGACAGCGCGAAATCGCGGCCACTAAAATCGCCATATCATCTCTTGCTGCGAAGCGCGATATTTTTCGCCCCCTCTCCTCTCTCCCTCTCTTTTCCTCTTCCTCTCCCCCCTCCTCTCTCTCTCTCTCTCCGTCTACCCTCACTGACGCACGTCGTATTAAGTGGTGGAATTAGCTTTAACAACCTGCCAGAAACATTTGCTAACGAAACAAATTGCAGTCACTATCTCGCAATTTTTCTGCATTCTCTCTACACTTTATACACTATCTTGACGATAAAAATGCTGGACTAACAGACACGCATTCTCCCTGCAAACGGAGTTTGTTCGCTAAAAAGAACCTTGCCTATTTTTATATTGGTTTTAGACCCATCGCGGTCTAATATAACGGAACTTATTATCTAAATTTCTTAGAGTGGAATCTCACTCAAAAAGTGAAAAGTGGCGGTATTTTCATTCAAAACAAAAGTGAAGATACTGTCACTCGAAATCGCAGGAGTGAATGTTTTATTCAAGATTGAAATGGACTCCATATGAGCGAATGTTTCTATCTGTTGGAGTGAATATGTTCTTGTGACGATGGAATACATCAGATTCATTCTTCAGTTTCGAATGAAAATATTGATTCGAAGTGAAGAATTCACTCTATATAAATGAAAAATCACTCAAATCCGTGTGGCTCAGTGATCACTTCACTCCTCGAGAGAAATTTCCCTCTGAGAAATCTAGAGAGTAGCTAAAAGTTACATTATTAGAGGATTCAAATGTTTCACAGACACATTCTTCCAGGTCAACGCTGTTTAGAGACACTCTGAAACATTGGAAGAATCTCGGTACTTAGCGCGACTTTTTACTCATTAGAATCGTCAGATGAGGGAACTTAACTTCTTGCACTCTAAATTTCTTGAAGCGAAATCTCACTCGAAATGGAGTGACTTCTTACTTTTATAGAGTAACTTTGAAATTTAGAGAGTAGACGACTTTGCCGATCCCGGCGGCCTTTCCGACAAATATTATAACAAATATTAGATTTTCAATAGTCCATCCATCCTCTATCGACCAGTATGCGATTAATTAATAATCCAAAATGGGCAAAGTTCTTTGTAATACCTCGTTGCTCGCCGTATTCACAATCGTCGTAGTCACAATCACTAAAATGCAATGTGCAAATTTAAATTCGAGCAGATCGCTGAGAAAAAATGTTTAGTACTTGCAACTATAATTACACAAAGCAGTAATTATTATAAATTATGGTCGATAAAACTATTTTTTCATTACATTCTACTGTAATGTTAGTGATAATAACTTTATACGCATATTATTCCTGTTACGTTAAAACAAGCAAAAAATATGGTTGGGGCGAGGAAATAACTATAATTTCAGTTAGATCAAATATTTCTTCCTCTCAGTGTGGATGCGTTAGAACCAACGATAGATCCAGTGACAGATTCGGCGATAGATCTCGCCGCAGCTCGCGACGTCGCGCGGCTAACGTAATTTCGGCGGAGGCGTCGCCTCATTCGAAAAACTCCGCGAGTTCAACGAGATCGCGCGCAGCCGATCGGAAAGAGTTTGCGAGCGCGCGTACACGCCTACTTGTCGCGCGGAATTATACGAGCGCGATGTCATTGTCATGTGTCGCAAGCGCACCACCGGGCTGCATTCCCGAACGTATCGATAATCAGATTATCACAGAATGAAATTGCGCCCGGCCTCGCCGTCGCGATGGCCGGGCCGGCGTTACGCTCTCGGCGAAGTTGGGCAATCTCTCTAAAATTGGACGGCACATGTTTCGAAACAGAGTCTCGCGGCGATGGCCGTCAGCGAACTTCGCCCCGAAAAGGTACGAAGAGCTCGATTTATGTTTCCGCGAGGAGTTTCACGTTTGATAGCGCGATCGCACACACGGCGCACCGACCGGTGTTTTCCGACCGATGCGTCGCGTCGCGTTGCGCCGCGAGTTGTAGCTGTTTCGCGCGTATTTCGTGCTCGCGATTTTATTTCGAACTTAGAACGCTTCTCTCTCACGATCGAGTGAACTGGAAACAAGTTTTGCCAAATCGACCTGCGACGACGAAACGAACAACTCGCGCGCTTCGAAGCTCGTCGATCCCCCTCGATCCCGCCAGGAAAGATGTCTCCATCCCCTTCGCGTATTTTCTCGCAAAGCGATATACGGTGTTATACTATTAATTTTAACAAGACAGCGTGTGAGTAACTTTTTCTCATACTGAAAAACCTTAAGCTCCTTTCCTAGTTATGGTAGTTTGATTTTGCAATATATTGTCACGTATAGTTGACATTTTTGAAAATGTTAAATGTTACATTGTTTTTGTATACGAGGAATCGATGAGTGATATTTTCATTACTGTCATGTAATCATTAATGTTACATTAATAGTCCATCCATCCTCTATCGACCAATATGCGATTCATTAATAATCCAAAATGGGCAAAGTTCTTTGTAATACTTCGTTGCTCGCCGTATTCACAATCGTCGTAGTCACAATCACTAAAATGCAATGTGCAAATTTAAATTCGAGCAGATCGCTGAGAAAAAATGTTTAGTACTTGCAACTATAATTACACAAAGCAGTAATTATTATAAATTATGGTCGATAAAACTATTTTTTTATTACATTCTACTGTAATGTTAGTGATAATAACAGTAATGTAATGTAATCAAAAACCAACTGGAAGTACAAAAAATTCAATTAAGACACTTGGATTTCCGGTTTCTTTATTGATATTTTGACTGCAATTTTTTATCCATTGGAAAATAGAAGTCATAAGCATCCAAAAGAGTCCTCTTATACGCCGCACAATTCCAGCATTTTCATATTTTTAAAATTAAAAACTGTTTAAAATTTGGAACCTTTGAAATCCTATATCTTTGGGACAGAAAACCGATGCAAAATGAAATTTGTATATTTGTTTTCAGCTCAACGAGATTTTTCATTTGGTATCTATTTCAACCCCTTATTTCTCTAACTAGATTGAGGGAACATACTCAATATCCGTTTAGCTGCACTCTTTACGTCATACAATGATTAAAGTTCTTATCGTTGACAGGATCGTTTCACTTTTAGCCGAGCTCAACAAAGGTAATTTATATTGACCGTTTTAATTATTCATTATATTTTAATCTTACCTATTTTTATTTTATTTTATGGTTTTTTTATAGTTATGACGGCTACTTCCTAGTATTAATTTGAACTTCTTAATATTAGTCGAGTAACGGTCTTGTCAGCTATAATACTGCGAATAACATTCATGTCATTTTTATTAAGGTCTTTAATTAATTCTTTTACTTGTAATGCGATCGTTTTGTAAACCTTGAGTTTTTTATATCACCGAAGAAGATTGAGCCGAAACGTTTGATTATTTATATTGAGTATTCAAGTTCAATAAATATTGCTCTATTTCCTAACACAAGGAAGGTTTTACCCATATGGTACATAGCACTATTAATCCTGTGCTTGAACTCGAATTAGCCCTTTTTCCTATTATTTAACTGATATAAGTTCTGTTATTTTGATGCAGCAAGCAATACTAAAAGTTATTCTCTGATTTCCATATCACATTTTGCATGACATATTATTTTCAGCGAATTTTGACCATTTCTTTGACGTTTTTCTTTTGCATTTCGCTTCCGTCATTCTGTGTAATAAATATAAGTGCCACACAAACCATTCATAAGGGATGTAACCTTTACAAATTGACTAGCAAAGTTGCTGCCAAATTTACGTATAGAATATTGCATTTACATACAGATCAGTACGAGGTGTTACTTATGCATTTCGGTGATAGGTGCGCGTAATCATGCGCGCAGTCTCAATAGACCTTGGCGGAATGCTCTTACTTGGAACTTAAACTTCGTAGGAAAAAAGCGCGCAAGTGAGAGCATTCCGCCAAGTGAACTCTGCCGCTGACAACTACACGTGCCTGCCAGCAAAACGGAGACGCAACCCGTGCTCTGACCTATATGTAAGTGCAACACCTTGCACAACTGTCTATCTGGGATATTACTTCCGTTATTTCAAAATCGGTCTCTCACGGGCCAGGCACGAGGTCTTCGTATATTAGGAAGTCACGCGACTCAAATGGGAAATAAGAAAAAGATCAAGGGGGATCAGATCGACTTTCTCTAACTTACCGTGAGGAGGTTTCGGCACGTAGAGGTTCATATACAGGCAGTCTTCGCTTTGGTTGGCCAATATGGGCGCCAGTCTCTCGAGGTAGGCGCGTCTCCGGCGCGGTAGACTCGCGTCCGGTTCCGGCGGCCGCTGCGGGCAGGCCGGCGGCATCGTGTCAGCGAACTTCGTGCCGCGCCACGGTGTCGGGGTAACCGGCGGCATGTACCGCAGCGCGCCGAGAGGCGGTGTCGCGTACGGTACGCCGTAGTAAGTCTCGACGGCCGTCGACGATCTGGCCTCGACGCCGCGGAGGGTGCCGTACCGGGTCTTAACCGTGCGGGTGCAATACTTCTGAGTGCCGGCGAGGGCCTCGGTAGTCGCCAGGCAGCACTGGACGCAGAGCAGCGCCAACAGGAGCACGCTCCTGGCGATGCCGGCGTCGTGCGAGACCCCGCCGACGCACCCCTTAGTCGCGCTGAGGATCGCGGTGTCCTCCTTCGCACTTTGTCCTTCACCAACGCGTCGTTTCTCCGTCTCGTCTTCGTCTCCTTGCCACCTGCGTCGCTCTCGGCACCGTTCGCTGAGAACGTCGCGCGTCTGACGAGCCTGCGACGTCTTGCCGAGGAGCACCTCGCGCCACCCCGAGGAACCCCGGTCTCGTCCTCTGCGGAGGATGTCGTGCCCCGTCCGTTGCGATACGGTAACGTCGAGTCGCGGGGAACGCCGTTGTCGAGCGACATATCTAGCTGACGGCTGCCAACCGGTAAGGAGGACGGTGTCGAGAGGCGAGAGGTCTTTCCTCTTCCTCTTCCTCGGCAAAGAGGAGGAGGACGTCCGCATCGCGTCACGCCGCCGCGGACTGGCCCCTTCGGGCCCCGCATCTGTGGGGCCCTCCTGCCGATGGACGACCCGCTTCTTCCGCTTCTTTCGACTTCCGCTCTCTTCCCTCCTCGCTCACCAACGTCGCCGACGCTTTTTTGCGCTCGCCGCTCCCCTGCGCCCTTTTCCGCACCACCGCTGCCGCTACCGCCGCCGCCGCCGCCGCCGCCGCCGCCACCGCCGCCGCCGCCGTCGCCACCCTTATACACCCGTCGTCGTCGACCACCCACTCCCGCTTCCGATACAGCTTGCCGCCACCTCCGGTCTCACTCCCTCCGAGCGGCCTTCGCTCCCCCGCCGGCTCGAATTCAAAGTAGCGACTCGTTGCTATCGCTCTGCTGCTGATCGGCTCCGAGCGAGCTCTCACTTCCATCATCAGGTGCATGCGTTGCCCGCGACGCTGAGCTGCCAAGCCGGCGACAGCTGGTGATCGTCGTAACGCGCGATCGGCAGGCGCGCACACACGACGCTCTGGTGACGATCGACGACGAGCTCGAGTCGTCGGCAGCGAGGAATCCTGACGGAATCATCGGCACCTCGGGCTACGATGGCACGGAACACCCTCCCCGCGCGGCGCTGCCGAGTTCTCGGCGGAGCACTCAGCGTAAACGGCCTGCGACCTGATTCGCCCGGCCAAGCAGCAGGAGCAGCAGAAGGATCATAGATTCGCGCGCTCCCTCCGGGCTAGTCGTCGTCGTCGTCGTCGTCGTCGTCGTCGTCGTCGTCGCTTTGTCGACTCTCGCTTTGCGTTCACGCTCGCACGCCGCAACACGCTGCAACAACGTTGGGGCCGAAAGGGCGGCTCGTTAGCGCAGCGGCTTCTCTGATTACGAATTCGCGGATCCGACTGTGCTGTACGCGCGCCTCGCCTAACTAACTCCAGTCGGTGTAGTCACGCGAGCGCCATAAATTTATATAAGCGCGCCCCACGCGAGTTTCCGCCGTTTACACATTCCGAAATTCCGCAAAACACCCAAGAACGCAGATGTTGTCCCGAGAACAAATGGCGCGGGAGCCGCCGCCGTTGTCTGCTCGGTGAGCCGAAAAAGGAGGAAAAAAAAAGAAACGTATGCTCAATATACTTCCAAAGGGACAATCGTGCGTGAAACGTACGCATCCCAATGACGGCGTCCCTCTCGCACCCCATTGTCTCACCCCTTGCGATGCAATTGTTTCCATCCGGCGAATTTCGAACGCTTTGGACCTACATCTTTTCGAGGCTGTCCATTCTTATGTCTTGCCATCGGGCACGTACGGATTCTATCTCTACGTTCGTCATACTTTACGTGACTGCGTAAATCAATAGAGGAACTGATTATGAAATAGGCAATGATATTCAAAGGTCTTTGATGAAGCAGGGAGATGGAGGGTGGTTGTCAGGAGGAGGGTTGTGGGAAATTTGTTGCTCTGTCAGGTTCTGGAAACACTCTTTTAGTATGTACTATTTTTTTAGTATATATTACTTTGACGTTTCATGTATAAAGAAATATTATTTAATTTTTCTGAAACGTTTATCTTTTATATTCGTGTTGTTAAAATATAAAGTTCGTGAGACTATTGTGATTTGAATATGATTTTGATAAAAAATAGTGGGTCAATCAAGACACATAATCTCATGGCCAGAAAGTTCCTTTAGTCAGAGTTAGGACAAAGCATGATTCCTGATTGGTCTACATCCTGTCCGCCATCTAGGGGGGTGATGTGAGTAGGAGTGAGAGAGAAGCTGTAAGACTGAAATGACAAAGCACACTGCAGCTTTTCCTTCACTCACTCATTCATTTGCTCCCTACAAATGGCGGACTGTGTCCTATCTCTGACTTGAGGACCTGTAATTTCTTTTATAAGGCACTGTATTCTGACATTCCTTGAATTTTTTTAATGATTAATATTACTTTCACATTTTTTCGACCCCTAGATTTTCTCATTTTTTAGTTTTTTTTTGTTAGTATTAAAAATACAATAAAATAGAGATGGAGAGATATTTTCTTTTTATCGAACCTTATAAATAACACATCTCTCAATGTTTCTACACGGAAAAAAACACTGGGACATGTCACTTGACTAAATATGACAGCGACAAAATATTTTTTGCCCATACATATAAAAGCGTCGTAAAAGCCATGGTACTCCGTAAGTGGTACACACTGACCTTGTTTGCTAGGCACGTATTCATACGTGTTTGAGTGGAATTCTCAGTGCTGTATAGCGTAACCAAACCCTACAGATCTTTCAACCACAGTACTCGTTCTGCAGACCGCAACAAAGAAATAGCAAAATACTTTCGGTTGAGGCGACTAATATTGATAATTGCTGAATAGGTATTTTCCGATGATTTATTTTATATGACAATATTTTAATTCCATTGATTTGAAAATATATTGGAAGAAAATAAAATATATTATAATTGAACATTACATATCATGAGAACTATGGCTGTGAAGACTACATAGATGAGACTATAGCAACAATAGCAATTTTTAATGCAAAACTTACTTAACTTAAATCGGTATAAATTTCTTTCCAACAACAGAGAATGTAGTTGTAGCATCCGTAACAATTTTCTCCGTGTATAAAGTTGAAAGATGCTTTTATGTCGTAATCAGATTGATTTGAAGAAAGGTATTCCATAATCAGTTCCACTATTTGCGCACATATACCGAGGAGAACGTTTCGATTTTAGCTCCATCTTTCTTCAGATCGCAAGCTCCTCGCAATCTCAGGAGCGCCATTCTCTTATTTCATTCGCTGTAAAGCAACCGAGATGAGAAGTAGAGTCGAAATCGCGGCCCGTGGTGCCGCAGCGACCTGTATTTACATATATTATTGCGGCGAGAAGCGATCTCGCGGCAGTAGTGGCGCGAATTTAACCGTTCAGATTGCGCATTAATATGCAGATGTATGCATCGATCCTTCGGGCTGAATTTTCGGGAATTCGGCGAATGCCCGGACTTGAAATTTACCCGCGATAAATCGGTAATTAATGTACATTGCCGGTGTGCCGTAATGAAAAATCGAATCGCACCCGGCGCCACGTTACCCCGACAAAACCTAATTAATCGCGATGACGATGTACTTTGATTCGAACGAGTTGCTCAAGCTGCTCGAATAACGCGAAATCCGATAGCATTCAGCCGTAACTATGCGAGAATTTCCAATTTCCAAGTTGAGGTAAACTATACTCTCTCTCTCTCTCTCTCTCTCT